AGATGTGTGGTGTGCGACCAGGTCCCTGCTGCAGCGTTGCAAGGAGATCCGCGTGCACTGGCGTCTTGTGGAGATCATCGAGCGTGCTAATGCCGATGCCGTGAGGCGTCCTCGCGACGCCACCACAGGGGCCCACGGCCGCCCCTCCCTCTCTCATTGTCTGATTGTCTCTGTGAATGCATGGATTGATTGATGCAGGTGCGATCCGCCCTTCGCCGTTTTCTGTCGACAGAGCTGCCGAATTTCATTCCAGACGACAGCTGGTCCGAGTTGAGCCGAGAGGACGACCATGAGAGTGCGGGGGTGTGTAACGATGGCGACGGTGAGGTCGAAGAGACGCGAACAAGACCGCAGCATGGCGAGACGCCTCCTCCTGGCGCCCCCCTCCCGCCACCAGCAGTGACATTCGTGCCAGTGGCGCCACCAAGTCACCCACCCGCACTTACGCATCACATCACGGTCCCCCCGCTCGCCCCGCCACTCCACACCGGCTGCTGGGGGCCTCCTGCGGCCGCAAGTGGCGCCCGCTTCGCTCACCGACCTGCACCCCCGCCCACACATCATGTCACGATGCCCACAGCCGCCCCAGTGCCAACACACACGACAGCCGCCCGGAGGCCGACACGACCACCCGACGCCAGCAGAGGAGGCCAGCAGCTGTGTGCCGCCCCCGCCCCGGCCACAACGGCAGTCGCCCCACCTCTCCTCGCCCCAGCGGCACTCGCAAGGCCATCGGCAGCCACACACAGCTGCGCTGGTCCACTGGTGGGCGGCATGGCCAACTGGACCGTCACACTCGACATGGAGGCGACGGCGACTCAGCGGCCGCGGCCTCAACTGGTCCCCTCCATCGCCACGCGCCAGCCGCTCCCTCCCAAGGCCGCAGCACCACCGGCAGCGCCGCCCCTCGTCAACCGCCAACTCGTCACGGGCCTCAATGTCCAAAACAACACCTACTTGCGCGACAAATCCAGCAGCAAGATGACACTCGTGCGCATCGAGCCGATCGTCCCCCCAAGACCAGTGCCGCTGTTGAAGACCACAGTCGCACAGACTGGCAGATAGGTGGAGGGGGGTGGGTCCCTATCGTATGTATGCATGGGTGGGTAGCATCCGTACTTATGTATCTTTAAGAACGGCTTACGTGTGCGAACCGGCTTACGTGTGCTGGGACGTCAAGTGTGTGAGTGAACTGGAATACATGCATCTGCGCGGATGCCAAATCGAGACGGCATGCATGGCTTGGCTTCTTCATTGAGCAAGTGAGTCATTTGTGCTGTGGGACTGTCAGGCAGTGATGCTGAGTATCGATTGAGCAGGCCGATGCTGCCGATGCGAGGAGCAGTAGGATGCCGCTGTTTTGTGCATGTCTCTCATATCCTTAAGGATGCAAGTGGAGAGATTGGAAGAGCGAGGAGACAGACACCCCCCGGTGGAGCCTCTCGACCTTAGGGGAGGCCTCTTGAAAGTCGTGTGTGGCTTTGCTTGCGGCATCAACACGGCATTGCACGAAGCCACTGATGTTGGGCTTACACTCGATGACTCATGAAAGTTCGCGTCGTACGCATGGCGTTGTCGGCATGTGAACCGAAACAATCCCCGTCTCATACCACCCTCTGTCCGCGGAAAAATTCCAAAAGGCGTATCAGGCTTTCAATGACTCGGGCTGGATGCAAAATATATGCAAACACTCTACAGGGGCTATTTCACGCAAAAGTATCATGAAGACGCGACAGCAGAGAACTTGTCGACTCCTGCAGAAGCCAACGCGGCAGACAGAGCGAAGTGAAACAGAATTTCCAATCGTCACTTCGTACCTTGGCATCGCCTAGAAACATGTACGTGTTTGGTTTGTAAAAGACAGGGTTGTCGCTGCAAATAAAAAAGGAAGGGCAATCGAGATACTTTTGCAGAACGGCAAGGACACGGCAACGTTCCTCACATGTCGGCGTATCCGCTTGCCAAGGATCGTTTCATGTAGATGCAGTGCTTCGCGTTCCAGCACTCCAGGACAGGCATGCCTGAAATCAGTTGATTGAACAAGCTTTTGATAGAAAGGAAGCTCACCAAACTCAGCACGAGCTTCTACCTTCAATTGGACAACCAGGAACTTCCTGCGCAGCGCTGTTGGTAATGTCTGGGGGAAAAAGAAGAAGACACCAGTCATTCGGGACAGGGTCTTCCGAGGTTCAGAAAAACCCCGATGTCTCTTACCGTTTGCGCCGATAACAAGAGCCAAGTCTGTATAAAGTCAAATGCAAACATTCCAGCCAAGAACACCAGGCCTTTTCTGCAAATCCTACGCCAAGAATCGCGCCGTCACCTGTTGTTTTGAAGTCTTCGTTGATTTCGTCCATCTCATAGACCCAGTCATATGGAACGCCCGCCTCCGCGAGCAGAACATTCATCTGGCCTGGCATTCGACCAGCAACAGGATGGATGCCAAAGCGGACCTGAATGTTATTCGCGCTGGAACCGCAATGACAGAAGAAGTAAAAAATTCGGTCCGAAGAGCGTCTACATCAAATTACCGCAGGGTCTTCGCGAGTTCTGCCAAAGCATATTGCGCTCGCGCAACGGCCATCCCGTATCCTGCAAGACGTACGTCGGCAAGCGACTTAGTCTATGACATGTGCCTGATTGAAGGGATTTCTGCCCGAAGAGTACCGGGAACAACGATGACAGACTTAGCGTTGGCGAGAAGGTCTTCACCGAATCAAAAGAAAAGAAGAAAAAAAAAACAGTACCTGTGACCATTCGTCCGATGAGGTGTGCGAGTGCAGCCCACCTGCTGCAAAATCGACTTTAATCTCTTGAGTCTCTCCTTTCTCAACTTTTGGGCCGTCGGCCGCAGGCGCAGCTATTTGGTAGCCTCCGAATAGCACATTCTGCAACAGGTCACCAGAAGGACAAATTGCGAATCCGGAACTGACAGAGCGTGTACCATCCTACCGGCAAAGATCTATTCATTGCCTTGCACCTGTACAGACATACGACATTTTAACAATAAATCAAGCAGCAAAGTTCAGGAGTCAGTCTGATTCATGATGATAACGAACATGATGTAGCTGAGGATGCCACCGCTGAATCCAATGAGCGATCCGACGATCTTTGGAGCACACAGGGCAGCCGTGAAGCATGAATCCAGTTCTTCTTCGCTGTTCTTACTGTCAGTAAGGGATTGTTGAGCATGAAGCCCTCGGCAACAAGAGCCCAGCCAGAGTAGGAATTGAGCACCGTTATACAAACTGGCATGTCAGCACCACCGACCGACGCAACAAGATGGTAGCCGAGGCCCTGAATCAAGGAGGAGTACACTTTACAGATGACAGGGTCGCAATTCCGTTCACTCACCATCGAGAGCGCAGCAGTAGCAGTAAGCAACGAGACATTGAGCGGAAAGCTTGCACTTGCCATAAATGCCGCGATGCCTCCAGCTTGTGCGGCTGCAGCAGCGATATTGATCAGGTTTTTGTTAGGAAGGGCGAGTGGCTTTGATGGCATAATCCCGTGCAGCTTCGCAAAGGCAACTAGCGAGCCTACGCGAACAGCGAGGGATGCAACACCAGTGAAATTGAGTGTAATGGTGTGCAGTTGCCATTAATACCTCACCCGTCAGGGTCACACCGCCGATGAAATCACCGAGGATGCTCCCAATCTTGTGAACTGCAGTGCCGTCAGGGTGGATGATGAACGAGGCGATTGACGTCGTCATGGCTGCGAACCCAACCTGAAGCAGGCAGATGTCTCCTGGGAATGCATGACACTATTTATTATTATTATTCTCTATATACATACCAGTGAATGGAACGCTGCGACAGTTTGAGGCAGCTCCGTTACCTGGACACGTTGACCTGAACAAGCAGAAAAGACATTGTTCGAAAAGCCTGGTATATTTAAAGCTACACGAACCGACTGCGACGCCGGCTGCTCCCCCGACTCCCATCAGTCCAGCTGCGGTCGCGAGTGTAGCAGCTGGAAAGTTCATCATGCCAAGCGTTGCCAACACTCCACCGCTGACACCCATAATGCCAAGCGCGTTTCCATAACGTGCTGATTTCTGCGAAGCCAGGCCGCCAATGGATCCGATGCAGCATAGGGATGCTGCTAGGTATGTCATTTGCTCCATTGAGGGGAAGCCGGCTGCATTCGCCAGCAAGTAACCACCAGCAAGGGCAAGCCCGGGGGCCTTCGCAGTTTTGAGAAAAAAATGTACAGCATGAAGGTGCCGTCCCGCCAGTTTGTGTTTTGCGTACCGCATACAGGTAGTTGTATTCTGGTGGGTCGGTTGGTCTCTTGAACATGTCCAGCACTGAAGATAGGTACAACAGGTGGACAAAGTGTCTGAGGCTGAGGGCGTGCGGCAGGCAAGCCGATACTTCGTTGGGTTACGAGAAAGCCGCCGGCGATATTTATAGTTGACGCCAGGATTGCTGTCGCTGCGAGCAGCTGTGCAATGGCTCCTCCTCCTTGCCCGAGAAGCATCAGTCCACCCACCTGACCGAGGAAACGGATCTCACGCATGCGTGACAGGCGAATTTCTCTCTTGATTGTGCTTTTCCACCGCAGTCATGCCACTGACAACATTGGAGGAAAAACAAGGAGGAAACGAAACAAACCTGTAACAAACTTCTTTGACTGTCTTTGGTTACCAGCTGACCTGATTGCGTTTGTTACGGACATCAAAGGAGTGTGCAAAGCAGGGACAACGCCCCAGACGACTTGATATCTACGGATAGCAATGGATCGATGATGCGTCCCCATGTCGATGATGGTCTCACCCTGCAGCTCCAGCGAGGGCGAACGTCGACATCATCGTAGAAAATGCAGGGTCAGACGACAACATGCCCAACGCGACCATGGACCCGGTGCCTGCGAAATCACAGGAGCAAAGAGACGTTCGCTGTCTTGAGATGGGCTTGTTTCTCAGTTTTCCCATGACCTCCAGTAGTGAGGAGCGCAGTGCTCAGAGTGGTTTGATACGGGTCCTCTGGTGCCTTTTCGACGGCAGCAACCTTGGGTTTCGTAGCTTGAGGCGGCGGCCCTGGTATTGACAGCAAAAGGCTTCCTTCAGGTGATTATGCGCGGCTCAAAGTGGTACCTGGTGGCTTCGGCGGGGGCCAGAGAAGGCTGTGTGAATCCCCATTGAGATACGAGATGGAACAAAGAGCCAATAGAATTCGAGTAATCTTCGACCTCGCTGTTTAGCCTCACTTGCCGTCTCTCAGAATTGTTGTGCCCCTGACACATTTGAAAACACCTGTTTCCAATGTAGGCACTACGTCTTGTCTTTCTCGCACCTGACGACGTCATCTCCCAAGTCGTATTGTAGTTGCCCCTCCTGAGGCATAAGACCGTGCAGCACCCAGACTTCCTGTCGCACGTTTGTGTTGCTTGACGTTTGGTTCTCACCTTGTTGATCATTGACATGAGTAATTTAGTTACGTTGTTGGCATATAAGGAAGAGGACTGCTGAGACAAGCGGCTGGGAAGGTCCGCAACGCCCTGAAAAGACCAATCAGTGCACATGCTCAAGCTGCTTCAGACAGACCTCAAGTCGAGTTTCTTACGATGTGAACAATCCCCCGATAAGAGTAAATCTCGTTCGGTTTCGTAGTCTCCACGTTTCCGCCTGTCATGCGAACCACGAAAAGAACCGTTCCGTAAGCTGACGCGCACGGAATGTGCTCAGCGATTTACCAGCTTCCGCAGCGAGATCAACAATGACAGAGCCTTCCTTCATGCCATCGACGTGCTCCTTGAGGATGAGCTTGGGAGCAGGTTTGCCTTGACATCGCAACGGGTGGCCAAGCATGTTCTGTCGTTATTCTCTCCAAACAACTGATCTGGCACCTGGAATCAGCGCGGTCGTGACGACGATGTCGACTTCCTTGCATTGTTGAGCGAAGAGGTTGTGTTCTGCCTCAATGAACTCTTTCGTCATCTCCTTGGCGTATCCGCCTGCCCCCTCCTCCTGTTGAGCGGATGTCACTCGCAACCCAACATGCACATCGAAGTACTTTCCTTACGAGTTTGAATGGAGGCCCTAGCTCGAGAAACTCGCCACCAAGCGACTCCACTTGCTCTTTTACCGCGGGTCTGCGAGAAAAACGCTTTCTGCTACCGTCATTCAGCGTTCTCGGGACTCAGTGACCCACCGAGTGTCGAAGCATCGAACAATCGCGCCCAGATTGCGAGCCTGGTTCAGCAGGCAAGAGATGTGTTTTTCCCTTTTCTCTAGTGTACATGGCCCGCTCACGCACTGTGGCGATTGCAGACAGTCCTGCCACACCTGTCAAACAAACCCAGACACCCAGACATCCACAACTATCCATCGTACTACATTTGCGCTGCTATGCGTACCTCCACCGATGATAAGGACCTTCGCAGGTGGAAGCCGGCCGGCTGCTGTCATCTAACAGTGAAACAAGGCGCTCAGGCATGACACTAGCCTTCCTCATCCTACCTGCCCAGCAAAAAACCGGCCAAAATGGTGGGCTGCTTCGACAACTGCCTTGTAGCCTGATGAGTAACGAATGAGAAACAGGAAAGAAGGCCGTCCCGAATCGAGGCAGTGAAAAAGCGCCATTTGGACCTGCAATGTTCGACATGCTGCTGAGCGCGTCGAAAACTTGAGCCCTTGTGATCCTCGGCACGCAATCCATCCCCATTACGGTCATCTTCTTTTTCGCAAGGCTGTCGAGCAGATCCTTGTTCTGGCCAGGATAAATGAACGAAATAAGGGATCCCCCCTGCAACAACGGGCGTACCGACAACCAATCATGCGGAACGTGATTGTGTCAGACAAATGATACGGTCCCTGACCTCCTTAAGGAGATCGAACTCATCCTGCTGCGGTGCGCGAACTGACAGCAGCAGCGAGTTTGTGAAACAAACAAATCTCATCTCCTGCATACCTTTGACCAGGAGATCCGCCCCAAAGACTTCCTTCTTCGCACTGCTGACGGTAGCACCGGCTGCCTTGTATTTTTCGTCACTGAAGCTGGCATCGACGCCCGCACCTGATTCGACAATCACCTGCGAGGAAACAGCGTGCATGGGAAGCAAAGGCCGCGCGTCTCCACTTTTGTCTGCGAATGATGTGGTACCTTGAAACCCTTCTTTGTCAGCTGCTGCACTGTATCGGGGGACTGTGCCACTCGCTTCTCGTTCGGGAAGGTCTCCTTGGGGCATCCGATCGTTTTCTGAAACACACGTCAGTGCAACACGTCCTTTTGCAAAGCAACCCTTCCTGTACGCCTTACAATGTTCCAAGGCTCTGGCTTTGGCTTCTCTTGAGCTGGGGCAGCGGAGCTGCAGAATCGCGAGAATCCATAGCGACAGGATCTGGCGGCCTTGAGCCTGCAGGAGCCGCTAAGGCCTGCTTGCCATAGCCGCCGTGACAGCGGTGCGAGACAGTCTGGCATTCAGCCTTTCGCAGATCTCTCCTCGGCGGTCGGTCGGTCGGTAAAGGGTTTGACGAGATACCTGTCCCTAAGCCCGGCGCTACCGGCGCAGGCATCTTCTCTGTCCACAGCACACACCAAACAGGCAACAGGCATACGCAGAATGCATGCACAAGGCCTATCTGCCCTTCCCATGGAACCCATGTAGCTGCGGGCATCGACACCTGCGGTCCCCCATGGTGAGGCGAAAGAAGCCGATTCATCACATGCTGCGCTCATTATCGCTTGATTGTCCTCCGTGTCAGTTCTCCCTCCTCAGTGGCTTTCTGCGGTGGCTGGTCAGTGGAGGCTGATTGCTTGATTCGCGTGCTCATGTGTGCTCTCTTCCGATCAGTGGTCGACATCGGAAGTGAAGATAGCCATTCTCGGGGTCAGCCGTGCAGAGGGAAGAGAGGGAAAAGAAGGACATCCCCCCCATTGTTTCCCTTCCCTGCTGCTGCACAGCTCGACGGAGCGGGAAAGACGACACTTCTCAACCACCTGAAGGGACGTTCGCAGCTGGACAGTAAGTATGCTTTCGGACGAGGGAGTGGACGGGCAGTAGGCGTGTTTCGATGATTGTGTTTCCAGCGATTCCCACCATAGGCTTCAACCTCGCAAAGGTCAAGATCGGCAGCGTGTAAGGCCCTCGGACACAGCAGTTTCGTCCCAATCAGTGGAAAGAGGAGTGAATGAGCTCATGCACCTCCTGGTTGTGCAGATCAGCAATATTCTGGGACTTGGGGGGTCAGCTGGCGTTCCGGTCTGTTTGGCAGAAGTACTACAGCGAGGTGACCGGATGCTTGAACATGTCCCATCTGTACAGACATCCATCCGATGCCGTGCCCTCTGCTTCCTTCTGTGTGCCTTAGACTGATGGAGTCCTGTTTCTTGTTGACTCCAGCGACGCAGACAGATTTGGTAAACAGTGAAGTGAATGAAGAGCAATTGAGTGCTCCGACCTGGCTCGTGTTTGTCGCCTTAGGTGAGGCGAGGAAGTGCCTGCATGGAGTCCTTTCGCATCCTGATCTCGGCACAGTGCCTGTCCTGCTGCTGGCCAACAAGCAAGACCTCCCACAGGCCGCCCACGTCGACGAGATTGCACGGCGCCTTGAGCTCAAGACTGTCGAGGTGGCCAACCCCTCCCCTCAGATCCCTATTGAGAGGCCTCCAGTGCCCATGCGCTCCGAGCCTGCCGTGCCCCGCAAGGAGCTTGTGGCCGATGATGGAGACCTTGCCGCATCTCCCGGCAGCTCAAAAGCTGGCGATGCAACCCACGAGGGAAACGGCGGCCTGTTACTGGGTTCCAGTGATGCCAAGGAGCCTTCGCCGGCGGTGGACAAGTCATGTACGAAAGATGACGGCTTCACCGAGCGCAAGATTGGGTCATCGGACAGCATTGAGGACGGCTCGAGGTGTCGGCCGAGGGCAACACACCTTCGCATTCACCCCTGCAGTGCACTGAAGAGCCCTACAAATGCGGTGGAGGGAGTCAAGTGGCTCATTTCGACCGTCACTCAAGAGAGAAGGCCTTCAGGCGCTTTCCTTCGCAGAGGCTCGACCAAGTCACATTAGCTAGGATCCATCGTTGTGTGCCGCGTGTTACCGAGAGAGCTTGTGAGCGGACAGCATGACAGGAAGGTTTAGTGCAGAAAGTTGCCCTAAGACAACCGAGTCGACCGAAGAAGTAACCCGCCGTTCTAGGAAGTAGCGGACATCTACTCGGGGACATGTATCCCGATACATCGCTCTTGACTGGCTTAGGATGACCGACCGGATCAAGGGCAGGAGCTCCGAAATGCTTGCATCATCGGGTCGCATTCACGCCGCTCTCTCCATTCATGTGGGTTCCGCGGTAGCATCTTCTTCGCGGAGACAGAGTGACAGAGTGAGCTGACCGAGACCGCTATGACGGATGGAAGGATGAATTCGATCCTTCCTCCTCCCTTGCGAGCTCAAGCTCGCGAGAGCCCTTCGCTGATCTCCCTTTTTTTCCCCTCCCGATGCAGCTGCTCTTTGTGCTTCTCGGTCACGCGTAGAGGTGAATCATGCACAGCAGCCACGGAGAGTTTCAGGCCTTCCAGGCGTCCCCTTCGGTTGTGTCCCCTGTGAAGTGCGTCAAGAATGTAAGCATCTCGAAAGAGGCAAACAAACAATACATACCGACTGGCTGACTGTCACTACGTGTTTCCTCTTTTGCCTCCCTGCCTGTCTGTCAGGAGATTCACAACATCCTCACGGTACGCTGTGCACGGGACAGCCCATAGATCTAGCACCGTGTGGGCCATTTCCTGACGTGTGCAGGTTCTGCGACTGACCAAGCAGTTCACGAGCGCCGCTAGGTTTATCTCTGAGGTCAAGAAAGAAAGAAAGAGAAAGAGGGTGATTCTTCTTTTCCAGAGTCACTGTCATCGTTTGGTGTGGCTGTGTGTTGGTTGCTACGGTGCACTGCAGATCACCCGGGAGGCTGAGAGCCCCATAGTGAGGTCGTTTCAGCACTTGTTTGACTCGCTGACGTATGTCAACGAGTTCCATGTGGATGTAACGCACCTGGAGCCCTTCCTGAACGTCATCCAGAGCGAGGCAACCAATGGCCCGATCACCGCAGTGGCCCTGGCCGCAGTCAACAAATTTGTTGCATATGGCCTCATCCACCCCGACAGCCCGGGATGCGCTACCGCCATCAATGCCATCGCTAAGGGCGTCCTTGGATGCCGATTCACAGGATCCGCAACACCTTCAGACGAAGTAAGAAGCAAGGTTGTGGTTGCGCTAGAGGAGCTGGCGTGAGGGCAGGCAGGTCAACAATGTGCACGCAGGTTGTGCTGCTGAAGATTCTGGGCGTGCTGATCGACACCTTGCGTTGCCCTGCGGGTGAGTATCTGACTGATGAGACCGTCTGGCTCATGGTCAAAAAGGCCTACCAAATCAGGTACGTGAGTGGCTTCGTCAGACTGTCTGTTCGGCCGGCTCATGGTGTTCTCTCCTTCTTGTTTCTCTTTATCTTTCTGTCTGTGTGTCAGCCGCCAGCCGCGTGCGTCGTATCTGCTGCGCAGCAGCTCTGAGAACATCCTCCTGCAGATGATTCTCACGATTTTCGGCTGCCACAAGTCCAGGGCACATCGGGTCAAGGTGCACCCCAAACAGAGGCAGGTCGGTGAATGCATGGATGGACAGATGAGCTGTGGCGAGCATGGCATGCACTGGCGTCCTCTGGTTGGGGTGGTTGTGTACGTCGGTCGGGTAATCCATCGATCCATCTGACAGGTTGTTCGGCCGTATGGTGTCGAGTGCATGTATCAGACGCTCAAGTTCCTGGCCTTCCTCACGTCCTACGGCCACCAGCAATCGGCCGCCGTCTCGTCTTCGTCAGCAGCGACGTCCGCTCCCCAGCAGGCGGCCCCCCGGCCGTCCAGCAACCGGCTGGGCGACGGAGGAGGGTCGGGCCAGGTGCACCACCACCAGCACAGCCGCTCTCGCACACCCCCTCGAGTGCGCGGTGCACGTTCCAATAGCCCCACCATCACGCCCACGCAGTCGCCTCGCACCAGGGAGCGGTCACCTGGACCGGACGGACAGTTCCACGACGATTGGGTCAGACAGACAGACAGACAGACAAGACAGGGGCAGAGGAGAGGGGACAAGGCAGGGAGCCTAGGCAGGGAGCCTAGCGACATGGGAGTGGGGACCACTTGATACGGCCATCACCTACCTTGTGCACTCAATTCAACGGTGGCTGTGTCTGTGTGGTGTGGTTTGGTGTGTGGGGCAGGCTTCGGGTTTTGGGTTTTCGCCGAGCCCGAATGAGGATGAGGAGTTCTGCCAGGAGATGCGGTCCCTGGGCCTGTCGCTGCTGAATGTGGCGCTCGAAACGGGAGGGGAGGAGGTCGCCAAGTCGGACCTGCTCGTCGCTGTTATACAGGTTAGCCACCCACCCACCCACCAAGCAATAGTGTACGGATGGATGGATGGATGGAGGGAGGGAGGGAGGGAGGGAAGCACGCAGGCAGGCAGGCAGGCAGGCAGACAGGTATGTGGGTATACTCTGTGGTGTGTCCGTGTGGTGTGATGTGGTGTGTGTCGTTCAGGACGATATATGCAAGAGTTTGCTGCAGAATTCGCGGACCGAGTCGTTGTTCCTTCTCTCGGTGACTCTCCGGTCGGTGTTTCTGCTGTTCCAGTACTTCAAGAGGCACCTGAAGGTGCAGCTGGAGGTCTTCTTCAACTCCATACACCTCAGGTCACAGCCACACACCTGCAAACATAACACATCACGCCTATCACCGGGGTGATGAAACGCCAGCCGCAAACAGTGACCAGACACTTGTTCTCGTCTGTTTTCTCCCTGTCTGTCGGTGTGTCTGTGTCTCCCTGTGCAGGATAGCGCGTTCAACGGACTCTGATTCCCCTACTGGCTTTGAGCAGAGGGAGCTGGCACTCGAATCCCTTCTAGAGTTCTGCCGAGAACCAGGTAGGTATCAGTGCCACCTACCCCTCCCTCACTGGATCGCGAATGTACGTGTGTGTATTTATTTGTGTCCGTCTCCTGCCTGCAGAACTGATGATCGAGCTATACGAGGTCAGTGAGTGGCCAAGCGCAATCCGTGTGTCGGATTGCTTCATTGATTGATTCGTCCGCCCCTCGTTCTTGACTCAGAATTACGACTGTGACGTTCGGTGCACCAACCTGTTTGAGACGCTGGTCAAGTTCCTCACGGAGCAGAGCTCGCCCCCACGTGTCGACACTGTGGTGGAGGGCGGCTCCTCTGTGCAGCTCGGCACAGTCACCTCATCCACCGGGGCATTCAACACACTCAACCGACTTGCTCTGTCGGGGCTACTCAGCATCGTCCACTCAATCGCAACCAGGTCAGTTGCTCGTGCACCACAGGTCATCTACCTGCGGGGATGGATGGGTGCACATTGGTTGGTGCACTGACTGTTTCTTGTGTCTGCCTGCCTGTCTGTGGTTGGTTGGTTGGTATTTGTTCTGTTTGTCTGTTAGATGTCACTTTGACGTGTCATCAGCTGCCCGGCTCCACAGTCCCCGGTTTGCGGCTCCCCCCTCCCCTGCAGTGGAGGAGGAGGAGGCTCAGCCCGTGGAGGCCGCGGCACGCAAGAAGAAGGACACCCCCACCGATGCAGACGACCTGCGGGTGCGCAAGGAAAAGAAGAAGCGACTGGCTCTCGGTGCACAGGTGGGTGGGTACGGTTTGGTCGATGGACAGATAGATAGATAGCGGCGACGGTTGTGCGATAGATCCCTGTGTGTGTCATGTGTGTAGGTGTTCAACTCTGAGCCGTCCAAGTGCATCGGTCCTCTGCAGAACCTGGGTAATGATAGGCGTGTATGCCTAGAGCAACCTACCTGTTGCTCGTTTGTGGCAGGTCTGTTGCCCATTCCCATCACCCCTGAGGCCATGTGCAGTTTCCTCAAAGACACACCGGGACTAGACCTTAGGTAGGTAGGAAGGGGCATCGGTGGCCATCGTTTCAAAGATGGTTGGCATCTGTCTATGTCTCCTGGTGTCCCTTCCACACAGGGTTGTCGGTGAGTACTTGGCCAAGCGGAAAGAGTGGAACTCGTCCGTCAGGTGAGGGCGGGAGGGAGGGAGGGAGTGACACGCACACACCTGGAGGCTGCACCATCCCTCCATCCATCCATCTGCTTGTCAGTCAGTCACCCCGGCGATTGTGTCTCTTGTTCTTGTGTGTGTGCGTCCATCTGTCAATCATCAGGGAGTCGTTTGTGCGGTCATTTGACTTCCGTGGCATGCCTCTAGTGGTGGCGCTAAGGGCCATGTTGGCCACCTTTAGGCTGCCGGGGGAGGCACAAGAGATCGAGCGGATCATGGAGAGCTTCTCCCAGGCCTACTATGTCATGCAACCCCTCGTAAGTCTGGTGGGACCAGCCACCACCAGCATGACTGCCTACCTCTACACCTGTGACCCTGTGACTGACAGGCTCCTGGTGCGGCGCTTCCGCCCGCTCAAGAGCCGACGACCCGCGTAGAGCAGAACAATGGCGATATCTCAGAGGTGAGTGAACGCTGCGACGTGGCAGGCAGGCAGGCAAGCAGACGGTTGGTCTTTAACTGCCTTAATTCCATCCATCCATCGATCAGGGCAATGGCAACTCGGTGGACGTCACGAAGGACGGCGTGGCGGTCACGTCGCCGGCTGAGCTCAAGGTGCCCCGTCTGGTTCGGATGGAGTTCTACGACGAGGAGGAGGGGCAGCTGGCTGACGAAGGTGGTGAGGGTGTCACTCCACATCCACAGCCACCCGCCCCCGACGCCGACTCCCACTCGCTGGCCAGTCACAGCACTAGGGCCGAGGCTGAGGAGGGCTCCGTGGACGGCTCACCGGCCAAAGAAGAGGGGTCGGAAGACGGCAGCGTCCGAAGCCGCAAGAAAGCGGTGCGACGCAAGCGGGGCAGTCCGCGGGCCGACGGCGCCACGCCCACGTCAGCCGAGGATGCTCTGACCGCTGCTGGTGGTGGTGGTGGTGGTATGCCGCTGGGCTGGGTGGTCTTCAACAATGCGGACGTGCCCTTCATCCTCTCTTACTCCATCATCATGCTCAACACAGACCTCCATAACCCGGGCGTCAAGAACAAAATGACCCTCCAGGTGAGTGAAGGGGGCGGGGGAGGCAGATAGTCGAGGCGGCAATCCAATCAATCCACCCACACGTCGTCAGAACATGTTTGTGTGCGTGTGCATGTGCATGTGCATGTGCATGTGCATGTGTGTTTGTCTGTACAGGAGTTCATTCGCAACAATCGCGGGTTGAATGCGAGTGAGGATTTGCCGCCCCACTTTCTGGAGGAGGTGTACGAGTCAATACGAGAGGAACCCATCCGCCTTCATGAAGGGGAACTGCAGGACGACACTGCATACTGGGTGAGTGAGGGGGTCAGTGGGTCAGTGAGGCGGTCGATGGGTGGCTGTGGTTCTCATTCGCCATATTATGGCCGCCTGCCTGCCTGCACCACCCACACACCCCACCCAACTAACTGGCTCGCCAATTGAATTGCTGTTTGTGGCTCAGGACCGCATAATGCGTCGTCAAGAGGCGATGGATGAGTTCTCCACCTTTAGCCCCGTCCAGCGTGCCGGCGCGCACGAGCGAGACATGTTTGGCGTCATGTGGGAGACACAACCTGTGGCCACGCTCAAGAAGGCATTCGAAACCACCCACGACCAGGTACGTACGGCCACACGCCACGGCGCGCCCACCCAATCAGTGAATGCAGCCATGGGGTGGGGGATAGAGAGCCTGTCGGCAGCCTTCCTCCCTTGTATGTATGTATGTATGCCTTCCGTCTGTCTGTCTGTTGGATGCCGGCCAGGCCGTATTATTGCAGTGCATCACAGGATTCATGGACATCGGGCGCGTAGCCACCTACTTCACACACGCGGAGGCCCTCAATACTCTCGTAGACGTACGTGCGCTCGACCAGGGCACTGCTAGGAGACGTCTGCGATGGTGAAAAGAGTGAGGTGTGTCGTTGCTCCCTCCCTCCCTCCCTCCCTCCATTGAATTGATCAGGTCCAGTGTGGGTATGTGAATTACTGGATGACGGTGCGAAGTCAGATGGCGCTTCCAGCGGTCATCCAAACAGTCTCACAGTCTGCCAACCTACTCAGGTGAGTGAGGATGTGTGTACGTCACAGACAGCACCGCTCATGTGTATGCATATGATATGCATCGATCCATTGATGCGACGTGAATACACCCACCCACCCCGTACGTACGTACGTTAATGCGTTGCGTCGTCCGTCACGTCAGGGAAGGGTGGGCATCTGTGGTGGAGTTCCTTCTTCGGCTGGCAGCCCTCGATCTGCTGCCGTCGTCTCTAGTGGAGCTGGATGACTTCAGCGACCCGACGGGTAAGCCCCTGACGAGGCTATGCGTGTGGAGTCCCCCTCCCCCGCGTTTGGCCAAGAAGCTGACAGAGGGCGAGGCGGCGAGGGGTGGCGGGGGGTTCTTCGAATCACTCACCGCATGGCTGGCGTCGGGGGAGGACAGCGACGACGACGAGGATGATATCTATGCGGTCAGTATATAGCTCGTGACGGGAGGGGTGGACAGACAGGACACGACAGGACAGGACACATGACGATGAATAGCGTGCCGGCACCAGCTAGCTCATCCGTCCTTTCATTCCGTTCCATTCGAGTGCTGGCTGGCTGCATTCATTGAGGATATGTATGCTGCAGATCGGCACTTCACCGTCAACCCACCTGTACCTCCTCAATTCGTCGCTGACTTGCACTGGCGCCATGCCCGCTAATCCACCTGCTTCCCACGCCATGGGTCGCTCGAGCCTGGCCACCTCGGCCGCCACGGCTAGCTCAGGCCATTCGGATACCGCCGCAGCGGCAGCAATGCACGGGATGGATGCAGACAAGGGCACGACGGCGGACGAGCAGACGCCCTACACACAGATCAAGGGCTTCATCCAGTCGTGCAAGCTGGAGGAGTTCCTCTCAGAGTGAGCAGAGAGAGGCAGGGGAAGGCAAGCGTGGACCGCAGCCACCATACCACCCCTCACTGCACTGACTGTCCCTCGCTGTCTCTTGTGTTGTGGGCTGTGCTGTTGTGTGGTGTGCAGGCGGCTGCGTCACTTGCCGCAGGAGTCGTGTGTGGCCCTCACTCAGGTGCTCATTCAGCTGTCTGACATCCGCCCCAGGGTGCCACCACCCAGCGGGCCCTCAGCCACCGAGGCCCCTGCTGCTCCAGCAGCTGCAGTCCCCCCTCCCTCAGCCACGGATGCACCCCGCAGGCAGTGCACCAAGCCCGTGAACACCGACTGGGGAGCCGTCCTGCGACCCGACGTGCCCGAGATTGACAAGTTCAGAGACCTTGCCGACGCTGTCTTCTGCCTCGAGCTGCTGACCAATGTGACTTGTGCGCGTGAGCACTCCCCCTCTCTGCTGAGCCAGACCAGCGGGGGCACCATCACAACGATCCCCGCATCTCCCACATCGGCCGACGCGGGGCGGGATCAGCAGCAGCAAGCCTTTGCTCTCGTCGTGGGGCACTTTGACGCCTTGCTGCGGTACATCAGCCAGGGCACCTCAGTGGAGGACGGCGGGGGCGGCGGGGGGCGGCGCAGCGCGTCGATAGAGGAGCGTTTTGTGGAGCGGCTGGTGGTCAACACACTGCGGTTGTGTCTGCGGCTGATGCACGTGGATGACCTGGCGGCATCGCTACTGCACCTCCTGCAGCTGGTCGCACAGTTACCCGGCAGACACTTCCACCAACATGCAGGTCAGGTCAGCCAGCCAGCCGACCCCACACACAAACAGGTCGGGTGGATATTAGTCCGCCCTTGCGAGAGAGCCATGCGAGTGTGTGCAGTTTGTGTGGAATCAATCGTTGTGGTGTTTCCTTCCTCTCAGAGCGCATCGCTTGTGCGTTGTGGCTTCTGATCGACCAGTCTCATCTGACCAACCCCGCCAACACGTCTGGCCTCAAGACCATTCTGGCCATCCTGCACCGCATCGCCACCCTGCCCCACGGCCGCGAGCGTCCCTCGATGCTGTCGACGACCTACGACTGCCTATCTCAGTGGCTGGAGGCGCAGCCCAGCCTCTGGATGCTGGTCGAGGCGGGTCAGTACCCCATCCTCCTCTCCACACTCATCGCCCTCGCCATCGCACCCCCAGCCACCACTCCCTCTCCCCAGCAGCAGACGCTCGCTGCATCGGGCGGCAGCGAGACGAGCGATGCGAGTGGCGGGGGGGCGGGGAAAGCCGGCCAGGCCAACACTGGCTCTCGGGCCCTCCAGAGCCTGGGGTCACTCTTGCCGAGGCTCGTCAGCACTGCCGACAGCGGCATGACCCAACCTGGGTCACGCCGGAGATGGGAGGACCTGTGGGTGCCTACCGTCAAGGTCAGCCGCCATGGATATGCGTGTATAGAACAATATAGGAAGGATATCGTGTCGCTCCTCTGTATGTATGTATGTGTGTGTGTGTATTTTGTTTCGCATTCTGTCAGTCTCTGGCAGTGGTTGCGGCGTTCGCTCCGAAGCCGACCCGTTCGATGGCGCTGCAGCTGCTGCAGAAGCTGTTCCTGGTGCAGGAGTCTGGGGGCGAGGCCGAGTTGGAGTGCCCCGCCATCGATGATCGAGGGCTGTGGAAGCAGGGCCTCAGCGAGGCCCTCGTGCCCCTCATCACCTACTCCTTCACACCACTCATGCCATCGGGCGACGGTGGCAGGGCTCTCAATGCTGTCGCTACCGAGGCATACACAGCTATGGGCAACGAAGAGGTCAGTGTGCAGCAGCTGCCACTACCCGTCCCACAACGAAGGCACATACATGTACATGTGTGTGTTTATGCGCCTCCCTTGATGTCTCTCTTCCATCCATTCATCCAGTTGTGTCAGCGGAAGGCGTCTGCTGCAGGGCTGCTATGTCGCATAGTGCTTACCCGTATGGACTTTCTCCTGGCGACAGCGGGGGGCGGCGGTGAGCTGAGGACCACTCCGCCACAGGACTTTATAGAGGTCACACAGGTCATCGTCACGGTGCTGGTCGAACAGGCACAGGTCAGCCAGCCAACACAGCCCACATAGGACCAACAAGCAAATAGACCACCAGACCAAGATCGACCGCGATGGTCACCTGTTGTGTGTCTAGGTGGCGCCTGCGCTTTTGCTCGACTCATATTTGGAGAACCTCAAGAACCTCATCCTTGTCGTGGCCACATCCACCTCCATGGTGGGCACCCCACAATTATGCACACGCACACTGCAGTGCACCTGTTGAACGGCGCTCATGCATGTTTTCGCACGTTGTGTCACTTTGTCCTGGTCGCTCAGGATCAGGATGGCCGCATCGACCCATCCTCGCCGCTGCTTAACATTGTGTGGGGCATCCTCACACCGGCTTTCCCCACCCTTCGGGCAGAGATCATGTCCATCCTTCTCCCTCCAGCACCGCCACAGGAGCCCACCCCCGAGCCAACCGGGCCAACAGCGCCAGAGAGCAGCACAGAGGCACAAGTCCCGCCCGAAACGAGCGAGCCCACGGCATCTGAAGCAGCCGCGAATGAGGGCGAAAAGGGTCCGCAGCAAGCCCCCCATGGCGTACCACCGCCCCCTCCCCCCCCACCGCCGCCCCCACCCCCTCCCCCACCCGCAGTCGTCACTGACTACACCGGTGGGCAGCAGATAGACAGACATGAAACATGTGGCCTGATGGGGGCTTGGGTGGGTATCATGCATGTAAGTGGCGTGTGTGTATGTGTTTCATTCAGGAATGACCTATGCCATGTGATCGATGGATCGATCGAGGCAGCGAGTAGATAAAGCGGCAGGGCCTTGGCAGATAGACAGCCGTAGCTAGCCTGTTTGAGCACAAGACGCTGCGTTGTCTTAGTGTGGAAGAGGCATGGCATGCGCTTGTGTGCCCTTAGTGCACTCACTCGTGTAGGCCGACAGACAGACAATTGACAGTAGATGAGCGAGTGGGTGACCCGTGGCTGAGTGGGTGGGAGGGGCATGGGGATGGGGTGGGTAATTAATTAGCACTCGCATTCATGCACATCGCACTTGGCATTGTCACTGTCATTGAACCACACATGAACACGCGACCATTATGGGCGTCTGTCTATCTATCCGTCACATCCATCCACCCCTCATCCATGTATGGAGCCAAGCCCTCCCTGTCAGCGATCTTGAATGCCTGTACAGGAAGGAAAGCACACATCAAGAAATCACACATGGTTGAGGAGGCCAACGAGTATGGTTGCTTCCACACCGTCATATGTCGATCTTTATCGTGTTGTCTGGTGTTTCGAGGTGCGCCGGGAGGTAGGATGCCATCTCCTGCACGCAGCCGGATATGTCAGACGCAGTGAGGCGGGTCAGATGCACCAACTCGTCCGTCTGAAGGCCACAAATGCATACACCCACACAGAGGCCTCCACAACCAGACTGTGTCGTCTAGTCGTTGCATCGGAGTGTCTTGTCTGTCTGCCTGCCTATTTGGCCCCTCCCACCCACCCATTCAGCGCCCTTGGCGTGTAACTCGAGATGACGGGCCACACACACGGCCGCCGCCTGGGGGCATTTGAGCAACACAGACATGTGTGTGAGTTGTCTCTCTCTGTCTCTCTCTCTGTGTGTGTGTGTGTGTGTGTGTGACTGCGGGCCGACGTACTGCGATGATGCGGGGCGTGTACTTGACGAAGTTGAAGGACAACAGGGCCAGTTCCTTAAAACAAAGAGACACACGATTTTTCCTTGTTGCGCATTCATTCTTCCTATCTTGCTACCGTGATGCGGTGGGCCAACTCGAGGGCCTTGGAGCCGGTAGCGAGCCCCGCCGTCTTACTCATGACCTCAACGTACGTGTACTCATTGCCGCTCGCCAAGTTGAAGTCCAAGGCCCTGCCGAGACAGACACAGACAAAATGGAATGGGGTGGTGGCCGTGGACAGTGTACATACATCAGTCGACTTTCTGTCTGTCTATCTGTCTGTCTGTCTCATTCCCCTCTCCCTCCCTCCCTCCCTCCCTCCCTCCCTCCCTCCGTCCGTGTCTCCAGTGGTGGCTCCCTCCGCTCACTCGAAGATGCACCACTCCATATTCTCCAAACACTGCTCCGTGTATTTCTTGGGGCTAGCCTTGTTGAGGACCTTGATGTGCTTGGCAGCCACCTGCACCTCGGCCTCCATCAACTTGGCCCCCAGCCACAGACATCCGTGGGCCACCTGCACTCCATCCATCCGGTGCAGCCAGCCAGCCAGACCAATCAACACAACACAACCATTGGGTGGGTGGGTGGGTGGGTGCGGCGAATGTCATGCACACACGATGAATGAGTGCGTGTCAGCCAACCGAGACAATGGCCTTTCTTTCCTCAAGCTACCGACCTACCAGGTATGTGTTGCTGATGAGTTTGACGCTGTAGTTGGTGTTCGCCAGTTTGATGCCGAAGTTGAGATCCTCCCAGCGCAACATGCTCACTGTACACAGAACAACAGAGCAGACCAAGCAAGACACAGCGGACAGCACACCATGTACACGCACACAAACACGTGTATCTATGAGTGGTTTGACTGCGTCCCTTCGGTCCCTCCCTCCGTACCTTTGTACCAGAACCTGTCGAAGAGACGCATGGCGAAGAAGACGGTGCTAGGGCGCATGTTGAGGCCCGTCACACACCCCAGCAGACGCTTAGCGATCTTGACACGGATCTCGTCCCACGTCGGATCGTCCGGCTCGTAGCGGGTCCAGTCTGCGGGGATGCGAAACAACTCCTGCATGTATTGTATACAGAGATTGATTGCCACACAAACAAGGGCACACCAGACAACCGACGAACACCAGTTCAATGCATTCTCGTCTCTCTGCCCTTCTATTTCTCCGGCTCCCCGCTAGCTGACCTCGTTTTGGGCGTTGCAGAGCATTTGCTGTATCTTTGGGTTTTTGAGGTCCTCCTCCGTGAGCTGTGGACGGACAGACTTGCCCGCTGCCTTGCTCTGCCCCGCACTGCCCCCCACGCTGGGCCCTGCTGTGGTCCTGCGTCTGGCGGCGGCAGAGCTGCTCTTGACCACCTGCATTGATTACATACATGTACACCAGCCAGCAATTGCACCATGCATGCATCTGAATGCATCTGCAGACATGAGGAACCTGAAGCGGCGTGCGCACCTTCTGGCCGGCCCATTTGTTTTGGTGGTGGTCTTCTTGGTGCGGACCGGCGCGTCATAGCCCTTCTCGCCTCCCTGATGCAACAATGGCCACACAAACCAAACAGAATCCATAGAGTGTGAATCCCCCAGGAGTCGACGCAACATTGCACTGTCGAGGAATAAAACGCCCTGAGGACTGCATGCATGGTTGTGCGTTCCTTTCTGCCTTCCCGTTCGTCAGTATGTGCAATGCCATGCATTCCTCGCCTCATGCACTGACTGCATCGGTGCACACTCACCTTCCGAACCATGACTGACGGACGGTGCCCGCACTGCTCGGAAATTGCTCGCCGTGCTGAGCCCGGTTCGCTTTCGACAACCGACAACGATAGTTTGGTACCAACAACAGAGCAAAGCTTTCCTTTCTTCAGATAATATCCACAGCTCGCTTCCACGACGATCGCCGAGGCTCGGCCAGTTTGGCCTGGAAGATCTTTTCTCAGCAGAGCCAGACCCAGGACGTGGTCTTAAGCTTTCACGAAGCCACTGAATAAGCTCAGCGGGATGTTGAAAAAGCCAAATGGCCCTGCCCTGACTGACAGTGTGGCAGCTACAGATCTCAATTGCAATGTGCATGTCAGCTATTCGAAGGCGGTCTGACCGCCGTCTCGCTGCTTCACCATGCACACACGAACCGCACACAGACTGCCTAAATGCCATGCGTACCGAAACATGGCGGGTGCGCGGGGGAGGGGAATTGAGAAGAAATGCGTCACGAAGTCAGTCAGTCTGTCGTGCAGCACAGCACGTCGCACCTGGACGAGGCCGGTAAAAACACCAGTCAATCGCCATGAGCCTTCATGCATGCATACAGCCGCGACTTATAAATAGATGCGTTACGTACACAGGTGTGGGCATTATCTCTCTAGTCCAGGGCGATTCGGCCGCGGCTCGTCTCGTCTCTAATGGCACACTGCCTGATATAATAGTATTACCACGCGTGGCGTCGTGGATGCACACACACACACACACACGAATGGATCATGCCATACTAGCACAGGCGGCATAAGCCAGAGGCACCCACGACGCGTTGCCCAAATTCGCAGGCCGCTCGCCGGCCTCCCTGTCCCGCAGCGCAAGGCAAATGGGTGCAATATCTTCGGCCATAAGGCCGGTCTCCGTCCACAAATGTCGCATCGCGGCAGCAGCCGTCAGCTGGCTCCCCTCGTCTGTCTCGCCAGCACCGCTGCCGCCCCCATTGATGACCACGTCGTGCCACCTACACGCACACACACCCCCATACATACATACATGGATAATACGAGTGACTGTATGCCAGGGGCATGGCAGGCTGGCTGGCTCCTGTGTGTCCGACTTACCTGCAGCTGCCGTTGGGCCATTTCCTCCACCGGTCACTCTCACGCATGGGGTCTGCGAGCATCAGACACACATGGCAACGAGACGACATGTGTGTTGTTCCGAGACAATGGGTCTGTGTATGCCGATGTCCGCACCGGTGACGCAGTCGGGCAGCACTCGAGGGTAGGTCTGCCAGAGCCGCCAGATGTGCGACGAGGCCGCCCCCACTTCGTCATTGTACGAGTAGCACCTGACCCAGTCCACGTCCATGCGACCGCTAGGCTCGATGCCGTCACGCAAAGACGGCCCCTTGGTGGCCAGCACATTTAGCATCAGGAAGTGCTGATTCGAGGACGGACGGACGGACGGACGGATGGGTGCATCCACACATACACAAATACGTGTGGGTGTCTGTCTGTCTGTCTGTCTGTCTGTCGGGCCCTCGATCGACCTGACTGCCGCACTGCCTCACTTACTTGGCAGTGGAAGTTTGGCAGCGCGTGTATGTCACGGACGTCGATGATTTGCCTCTTGCCGCCGTACATGAGCTCGCCATCGAGATAGAAAGCCCAGTACTGATCGTTGGCTTCGTACCCGTAGATGTGCCACTTGTGTGGGTCAGGGATGGCTGACAGGGGCCCTTTAAACGGGTACCTGAACACGATAGGAAAAGCTGAGTAGGTTGAACAAGGTGTATGTATCGGCATGCTCTTGATGGCTGGCCCGCCCCGAGGGCCACCAGCAGAAAGCCCTGCCTTACTTACGTCTCTTGGCCGCTGAAGGGGACGTGTCCGATGAATGTCTTGCCGTCTGCACGGAAGAAAGGCTTCCGCTTTGCTCGCGATGTCTCTTGTCGGCCCAGCCACATGTAGCCGCCCTGGGTCATGTGCCCATTGAACCAATTCTGATGGATGATAGATGGACATACCCACATACCCACACACACAAGAGACAGACAGACAGACAGACAGCCAGACAGGTAGAGAGACGGATGTCAGCCACGTATGAGCGTCAGTCACGTATGATCGATGGATGCATACCTCAAACCTGTTGAAGTCACACCGAACATGCCGATCATGCACACATACATACATACATACATACATATCGATGCGGCATGGCTGGAGCGAGCATCTATTTGTTGTGCTCACTTACATATCGATCTCCAGGCGATTGAATATCCCCCAATCGTACTGCCCCCGTGATACCATCGCAGGCATGCCCCTCGCCCACGCTGCCTGGAGGTTTACAGGCAGGCAGCCAGGCGGGCAGGCAGGGAAAAGAGATGCACCCACACCGACACTGAAGTGAGACTGCCTACCTCGTGCCACCCAAACCTGCAGATGTCAGCCACGGGAGACGACAAGGACACAAAGACAGACAAAGCATGGTATGTCTGTTGGTGTCTGCATTCACCCCCACTCGGTCGGCGTATACCTGTCTTCAAAGCGCAGTTTGACCTCACAGGCACCGTCCGTCATGGGCCTCTTGGCGACGATGCCCGCACCGAGCGCGAGGGGGCCCTCCAGCCGCCCCCTGAGCTTCAGGAGGCCGCCCTCCACCTTGACATTGTCAGCCGAGCACATGGTGTCCTCGCCAATACCACAGTCGTCAGCACGGACATCCCACTTGGACTCGTTCAATCCCTTTAGGGGTCGGTGGGATGATGTGTGCCTCCCGTTGGTGTACTCAAATTCGTCACTCAGGTCAGGCTCGTACCTCAAATAGGGCGCCTTGAGGAAGGGGGAGGGAGACCGCGGAAGATAGCACGTGGCGGGGAACAAAGCGCATAGCATGTCCTGCACACGCACACACGCAACCATACACACACGACCAGAAAACACACAGTCTCGCACGAGGTGGTCAATCCGTGTGTGTACAGAGGACCTTGACGACGTGCGTCTCCTGCTGCTCGAGGACATCGATGGATGAGAGCGGGGGGGCTTGGGAGATATGCCTCGCTATCAGAATAGCCAAGACAACAACATGAAGAAGGGAAACCACCATCTTTTGAGATGGACGATGGGGGAGGGGAGGGAAGGAACACGGCCAACAACGGTCGCGATCCAAATATTTTGTTTTTTTTGGATTTGGGGCGGTGTGCGATGGCGTCAGATGCCCCTGCGCGGGATGAGGTCCATAACCTGAGGGTGGAGGTACCTTGCTGCAGATCCGACAACATCCCAGCCATCACACGTCCGTGTCCATGTGTTGTGGTGTTCTTTTCGTTGCCAGCGGAAGTACGTTGTGCGTGAGGTCCGCAAGCCCGTATACGGTGAGTGGAGGCTATAGGCATCCAACACACATGACAAATGAATGGTTGCAGCTCTGTACCCCTAGGTGCTGTGGTGTGTTGGCGGGTGGTTGTTTCCATCAGAGTATGTTGAGCGTGTGGTGGAGGTGCCGATAGTGCAGACTGTGGACCGCATCATAGAGCGCCACGTTGACGAGGAGGTCATCAAGGAGGTACCCAAGCTCGACATACAATACGAAACAAAGATCATACCCAAACCGACTCTCAAAGTCGTCCCCAGGTGGGGTGGGCCGCAGTCAGGAGGGAAGGACAAGACATCCATTCGTGTCGATGTTGTGTGTATGTTGTCGTGTGTCTTAGGTACGAGTATGTCAAGGAGGTGGTGACCGTGGACCGGCCCGTCGTGGTGCCCCAGGTGGAGGAGGTCGTCAAGTCGGTGCCCAAAATTGAAGTCGTCGAAGTCCCCGTCGAGGTACGCAGGACAACATGCTTGCCTGCCTGCCTGCCTGCCTGTCTGCCTGGGATTGTCTCCGACAGAAAGTCAAGTTGGTGCCGGTGCGTGAGACCAAGGTGCGGCACACATAGACGGGGCCCTAGGTGGCGGGGCCTGCATTGTTGCTGGCGTGGGTGTGTGGTGTGTGCAGTATGTGGAGAAGATTGTGGAGGTGCCTCACACGCTGGTCATCGAGAAACCCATTCAGAAGATAGTCACGGTGCCAAAGGTGACTGACAGGAGAGGAATGACCACAGAGAGGGAGATACCAAGGACCTGGGATATAAGTCACAGCTGCATGCATGTCGTCTGTCTGTCTGTCTGGTGTGTGTCAGGTGGAGACCAAGATTGTTGAGAACGTCGTTGAGGTGCCAAAGGTCTACCTACACGAACTCAGCCAAATCGTGCAGGTCAGGGGACAGCCAGGCAGCCATGCACAGCCGACGAGGGTGCACATGTTGCTTGTTGTGCGTTGTGTGTGTTGTGTTCAGGTGCCCAAGCCAGTGTACGAGGATGAGTTGGTGGATGTGTTGGTCGAGAAGGCCGTACCAAAGTTTGTAGAGCACAACGTATCCTGACTGACACTCCAGACACACCGCACGCCTCCAATATGCGGGCTGGCGGGCTTGTACATAGACAGACAGACAGACAGATACGGACAGTGAGTGAGTGGGTGAGTGCGTGAGTGTCGCTCACCATCTCTGTGAATGGACTGATGGGTGCGGTGCGTCCATGAGTGTGCATGGGGGGTGAACGAGTGAATGGGTGGCGCCGGGGTGGTGCCTGCCAGCACTGAGCAAGTAGCCTTACAAATTTGTATGTAGGGATGTATGTATGTGTGTAACGTCTCATCCACCATTCAGTCAGTCAGTCAGTCACACGAGTCAGTAAGGATATGTACAAGCTCGTCTCCTTAAGACACACACCGGGCAGGCAGGCAGGAAGGCATACGCAGACTACACAGAAAAACGACGGCCGCCCCGCCACACGTGTGCATGACAAAAAGTGCTGTCGTCGTCAACTGCCGCTGGCTGCTGAAATCCCTCTCTTCGCCAGCCGGACCTCAGTACTCCTTAGCTATGGACAGGCACTTATCCTCGTACACTGACACGACACACACACAGAGAGAGAGAGAGACTTGATTACGTGGTGCTTGAGCCACCAGGCAGCATGTGTACGGTACCTGTGGGGACGTCGACTGACATCATGCAGGTGAGGGCGGCGAGGAGAGTGAACACAAACATGGCACTCATCAGCAGAGCCGACAGTCCCATCTGCAGGGACGGTAACAAACAAGAACACAACACACCCCCCTGGCTGGCTGAAACACTGGATGTCAACACGGTGCCATATATGATCGATCCATACCGGGTGTATTCTGAAGGCAGGTTGGTCTGCGGCCGCCTGTTGGCCGGAGACGCCAGGGAGATTGGTGGCCGCGGCCTTGGCCGCCGTCGCATTACTCGCGCCCCGGTCGGGTGCCTCTGAAACGGCCCAACGATATATTACATGGAACCTCATGTGCATTCCTCCCCTCCCCTCCGTCCCTCCCATGGTGTTTGTTTGCTGTGCTTACCGATTAGTCTCGCGTTTTGTCTGTCCTCCTGCAGTGCCCTCGACTGCACAAAACCTGACACCGCACCGTGCTCAGGGGCCTGAATGAGACACGCACAATCGGTGACAGACAAACAGGTACGTTGGCAGCCTGTCTGTCTGTGTTGTGGCTGTTGGTTGAGTGACCTGGGCGGTGAGTATTCCCACGTAGTTCTTGTGTGTCAGCTCCGACACACGGCTGCTGAACTCCGACACAAACGATCCTGAAACAGGCAGAACAGAAGACACGGGATCGACTGACTTGTTGATTCTCTCGCCGTCCCGCTGTGCGGACAGACCAGGTTGTTTGATGCCCTTGAGGTCGACAATAATGAGTTTGGGTTCGGCCGCGAGCAGCAGCTCAGGGTCCTGGCCGATGGACTCCACCTCATAGCCTGACGGGGCCGAGTCGGGATCACCTGCACACCGCATGGCATCACACCACGTCACATTCATTGCTGACCCATGCATGCCGTAGACAGCATCAGTGAGTGCCCGGCTGGCTGGCTGGCTGGCTGGGTGAGTAGCTGACTGACTGGTGAGGTAGTATGCGTGTTGCTTGTAGTGTGCGAGCAGGTCCGACACGCGGCGTGCGGGCGGCAGTGTGTAGGGCACTGACAAGGCACACGCCGACGAGGCCACCAAACCCTGACCAAAGATCAACATTTGATCCATGCATGATGCACGTCACGTGCAGCAGCCACGCCACGCCTGCCTTGAAAGTTTCTCTCTCGGTTTCATTTCCCTTGCCCACCCCACCCCACCAGCCCACCTTGAGCGAGACGAAGGCACTCTGACCCCCACTCAGCTGCTGCACAAAACTTGGAGTGCCCAGCTGCACTCATGGATGGCATGGCACAGATACACACACACATGAATGCACCATGACGGACGACACACAGTCGTGCCAAACTGTCAGTCAGCGTGTTAGCTCACCTCCGGCTGAACAAAGAGAACCACGACAGGCGGCTTGCGGCCCGTGTTGGAGACAAGGGCCTCATGCTGTATGAATGAGTCACGGTTTCGATTCACACATAACACTCACAATTATTGCCGTCGCCGTCAGCTCTACTGAGCAGTTGTGTGTGTGTGTGTGTGTGTGTGATACCGCGTGTCGTTGCAGGAGGGCATCGATGAGGCTGGTGACGTACGAGAAGTCCACCGCAGCGGGCAGCTCAACAAACGAATCCTTAAACAACCTGATCACACACACACACGACAGGCAACAGTCCCGTCAGTCAGTCAGTCAGTCAGTCTTTGGTTTTGTGGGCGGGGACCTCACCTCTGACTGGACCAAGCAAGTGATGGGACGGTCATAGTGTTATGGGTCGTAAGCGCGTCCAGTGCACCGCCGGCAGCAGATGCGTCTTGCTGATTGGGGTATGACGGGCTGATGCCGTGTGGGCTGTGCGCTCCCAGCAGCACCGCCTTGTCACCTCTCGACACCACACACATCAGGGCCACCATGGCCCATGCAAACAGCACCATCAACATCTCCTGCCGCCACCTGACGCACAGATGGACCATTCTGCAGATCATCCAGGTCAGCGTGAACCTCGGCCTTTCGCGTTCATCATCCATTGCCTCACCTGACTGACGAGGGAGGCACCAACTCGAAGGAGAATCGTACGTACTACTTTTCCCGGGTGGCCGCTCAGTCCCTTTCCCTCCTCTTTCTCTCCCCCTTTTGCGAGCTGCGTGCCAAAGGGGAGCGGTGAGCAGACGTCGGTTCTGGCAAGCAAGGCTGATTTGAAACAGGTAAGGACATGGCCATGAAGAGGCCCTCGTGCGATTGAAAGGCTTCTCCTGCTATTTGTGCCCAGGCGGCGACAAGAGCCCTCGCCATCAACGTCATTTGACCAGAGGCAGTCGCGGCAGCTCCCCTCGTACCCTCTCCCATCACCATGTCGCTCGGGGACCTGGGGATATCCAAGGAGGTCCGCACAAAGGCCAGGAGGACCGACGATTGAATCATGCACACGTGTTTGTTGGGGTGCTGTGCTGTGTGGTGGTGGGGTGGGTGCGTCAGGAGTTGGAGGAGGCCATGAACCTGGAGAAGCTCTACAAGTGGATGAAAGAAAACGACAAATGCGCCAAATGCAAAAAATCGGTAAGTTACAACCGACAAGCAGTCAGTCAGTCGTTGGGGCGGTCACAGTTCACGAGATGGAGGGCGGCATTACAGTGCATTCATTGCGTGTGTTGCGTTGTGCATCCTGCATGTGCGAATGTGTGCGCATAGCCGGTGACTCACGTTGACACGACCAAGTACGAGTTCCTGTGTTCGACTTGTGCGAAGGGCAAGGGGGCCAAAAAGGTGGGCGACGACCGGTTCGACCAATACGAAATGACAAGACTCGAAGACAAATACGGCAGGTACGACCGTTAGGTACCTTACCTCCCTCCCGGCCGCCCGGAGAAAATCACGCGCCCCTTGACGGACTGTTTGTTTCTGCCGCAGCAAAAAGAGGCGTGGGAGTGAAAAGAAGGAAACAAAAGCGTCGAAAGGTGTGCGGCTTCCATTGTACAAGCGCATCGCATTGCTGCCCCTCTCTCTGTGTGTGTGTGTGTCTGTATGTGTGCAGTGAAGCCACCCAAGAGCGGGACCGCAAGGAAGACAAAGAAAGAAGAGGTGCGCGACTGAGGGCAATGACACACGGGGGGCAGAGAAAGCCTCACACTTGCTTTTCTGTATGTGTGGTTCATCAGAGGCGCCGATCGCCCACGCCCTCCGAAGACGAAGAGTGGGTGATGCGCACTCAGACGCATCCCATCCACCCTCACATCCCTCGCCCGTCGTGTGTGGTGTACTTGTAGGACTGAGGAGGAGGAGGAGACGCCCCCCGCCCGATCCCGCAGCAAGAAGGGCCGAGGTGGTGGGGGTGGGGGTGGTGGTGGTGGTGGAGGTGGGAGGGCTCCAGACCTCAATCTCACCGCAGCCAGTGACGCATTCGCATTCGGAGGTAGGCACATACAGACACAGCCGGACAAAAGGCAGCTCATGGCTGTGTTGTGTTTGCTCAGGTGGTGGAGCGACGCCTTCGCCGAGCATGCCGGGGATGATGGGCATGTTTGGTCAGCAGAACATGCCGCAGCAGCAGCAACAGCAGCAGCAGATGGGACAGCCGCAGCAACAGTCAGGCTTCGGCGGCATGCAGCAGGGCCCAGGTATGGGTGCCATGGGTGGAATGGGCGGCATGGGCGGCATGGGCGGCGGGCAGATGGGTATGCCTGGTATGATGGGGCAGCAGGGCATGGGCATGGCAGGTCAGCAAGGCATGGGCATGCCAGGTCAGCAGGGGATGGGGATGGCCGGCCAGCAAGGTATGATGAACCCCATGGGCGGCTACGGCGGCTTCCAGCAACAGCAGCAGCAGCCGGGAGGCATGCAGGGGGGCATGATGGGTGGGATGGGCATGCAGGGGATGCACAACGGCATGCCGCAGCCGTCGCCAGCCGGGCCCTTTGCGTCTCAGCCCAACGTTTCTTCAATGAGTCCGCAGAACCCCATGCTGCTGCTGTCTCAGATGCAGCAACAGCCGCAGCAGCCGCAGATGCCCCATGACCCCACCGGCATGGCGCAGGGCGGCCTGTACGCCAGCACGCCGGGCTACTACGCCGGTCAGCGAGCGCAGTTGGGTTATGGTGTTGGTGGGCTGCAGAACCCCAGCTACTTCGCATCCACCCCTCGCATGGCCACAGCAGGGGTGGGTGGGATGGGGGCCATGGGGATGCCCGGGGGCATCTACGCGTCAGCTATGGGGATGCAGAGCCGACCGATGGCCGTGGGAGGGGCGACTCCGGCTGCTGTCGACCGGTCCAACCCCTTCGCTACACCGTCCACACCTGTGCAAAGTGAGATGGGACAGACAAAGACAGATAGATGCACCCACACACAACGGCTGCTCTCCTGCTCATGCGACCCACGTGTGTGTGTGTGTGTGCGTGGGTGTGTGGGTGTGTGTGTGTGTGTGTGTTTGTTCAGGGGGCGTGGGCGTTGGATACCCAGGGATGGGCGGGGCGAGCGGTTTCATGATGCCGGCCTACCCAGGCATTACCACCGCATCGCAACAAGAGGAGGTATCCACACACATCGTATGAGGGAGCGGGGGACACGCAGCACCTTTCCATCTCTCCGTCTGTCTCTCTCTCTCTCTCTCTGTGTGTGTGTGTGTGTGTGTGTGACGCGTGCAGCCCGACTGGTGGGAGTGACGGCTGACTGGGGTGTCTGCCGGTCGGTCAAGAGTCCTTCATCATCCTATATGCAGGTTGGTCGTCTGGTGCGAGTGACGTGGGGTGTATGTATGTATGTTGGCGAGGAGGGGGGCCGTGTTGAATTGCTGCTTTCCTGGTACGTCATTCACTGTCCGCGTTGATCGGCCTGTGGAGGGAGAGAGAGGGAGGGAGGGAGGGAGGGAGGGTGGGCGGAATATACACCTAATGAACAGACAGAGAGTGAGGAGTGAGTGTTGCTGGTGGGTGTTGCTGGCTGGCTGGCTGGCTGGATGGCAATCTGTCGTCTGATAACGAAGTGGGCCTCTAATGGACCGAACGTTCCTATCTATCTACCGACCTACACCGTGAATGGCTGTCAATCGATTGCATTGTATGCGTCGTTCGTCGACTCATTCAGGCGGCACCGAAATGGTCGAACAATCACATGCACGGATTCATCCGTCATGTGTGAGAACACGGGTCATTCACTTGTACACACAAAATGCGTGGGGCCCAAGGTAGAAGTAGACGAAGCGCTGAGTGGACGATATCACGTAGGTCCCGAAATGCCGCCCAACGATCTGCAATGGATGCACACAGACACGAATACACAAGATAACGACCTGAGTGTGGGCTCTGCGCCGCGTCTTGTCTCGCAGACCACGTGCCAGTAGGGTCCCCATTTTTGGTCGAGTTCATGCTTCATGGCCTCAGCTATCCTCTGCCCCTCTCTATCGGGATTGTGCTCCTCCGTCAACCGCTGCCTGCAGGAGTAAGGAGGTGCATAGAGAGGGAGGAGACAAAAGGTCCCATGCGTCAACCTCACTCATTGCATGCACACAGAAGGGCGTGCCGTGCCATGCTGTGAGCCTTAAGTCTGTACGCTTTCTGGATGACGTCCTCGAGAATGTCGTCGGGCACGTCAGGCGGGTAAAGAACCCGAGCCCCTACAAAAAGAGATGCAATGCGATATACGATGCGTGCAGGACAAGCTCTGGGATGTCGTCACCCATGAGCGTCTTGTACTCTTCTTGAGGGCCACCATCACCCGCTGAAGTCGTCATGATGCTGTCCGTCTGGGGGCGCGATCTTCGTGGCGCCCCCAACTCGCTGTGGAGCGATTGTTGCTGCGTGCATGAGCACAACGCGTACAACACATACATGCAGATGGATGGATGGATTGGATTGGATTGGTCGTTGGGAGGATGGATGAATGTCCTTCTCTGCACGTCAAAAAGCCATTAAATGCACAGACACGGCGCACACATGATCACGCAATACACACAAATACACTGAGTCTGTCGCTCTGTCCACGTGGTGTGTATCCGCAGACGGAGCTGGCTAAGGCACCCCCCACCCCCTCTCCTTCTCTCTCTCGCTTGTTGGGTGTTAAAAACCGAGCACTGCGCTTCAGAGCCACACGCCCTCTCTCACTACGCCGCTCTCTCTCACACACGCACGGATGGCCAATCGGCCTACACTCACCTGTCTTCGTACACGCGCAGGCATACAGCGCAGCGGATGGATGGCTTGGATTGGCTAGGGAGGATGAGTGTCCTGCCTGCCTGCCTGCCTGACGTGTGCGTTTGTGTCAAGGTAACGTTTGAGACGAAGGGCAAAGGGCCGTGCGGTGCGGAACCAACCTGTGTGCCGGCAATGCCCTGCATGTCAAAAAGCCCTAAATGCACAGACACGGCACACACATGATCACGGAATACACACAAATAAACTGGGTCTGTCGCTCTGTCGACGTGGCATTTATGCTCATACACAGCTAGCTAAGGCACCCCCTCTCTCTCTCGCCCCGGGGTCAAAAACCGAGAAGTGCGCTTCAGAGCCACACGCCCGCACTCACTGCGCCTCTCTCTCTCTCTCTCTCTCTCTCTCACACACACACACACACGCACGGATGGGCAATCGGAGTAATACATACACGCCAAAAAACTACTAACACAAGAGCTCACTGCAACACACACACACACACACACACCACAGAGGCCTCCATCCGTGCCGCCTTCTTCATCGCAACTCGTGTGCAACTCACGTGATGTGTTTTTGGCGTCGTCTTGGCCAGCCATTTAGCTGCCAAACATAGGATAGTATCGGCCGGTACTATCGCGGAACGCACCCTCCAGGAAGCTGCACACACACACCGACACCCACACACACCCACACTCACATGGTCACGCACGTCACGGCCACCGCCGTTGCCTTGTTCACTCACTGGTGGTGAGGCCATTGGCCGTGGAACGAGTTGTACATGAGAGCATCTCGCTTGGCCTTGCTCAGCTCGTTGATGGCCTTGGCGGCATCGCCCATCGTCACGCCCTTGGCCTGCGCAGGTGCAAACAAGTATGCCTGTCCGTATTGTGCATACTAGTGAGTGCAGACCCACCGGATCAGACGCCTGGATAGCAATTTCCACCTTATCTGAAGCAACACACGAATGAACAGCTACACACAGACACGTCCTCCCTGGCGAACAATGTTCACATTTGCCGTAGTCATCGAGTGACATATAGAAGGGGTTCGTCGTTCCCTTCGGCAGGCGTGTCGGCAGCTTGCCCGTGGCTCGATCTCTCGCCATGAACCCAACAGGGAACTGGGCGAATGAGTTGAAGATGATGAGGCTCTCGAAGGGATACAGCACCTTGCCAGGGTCGACGCACTGCTCGTCTGAGTCGCTCCACCAGCCCTCCTCGCTCAGCAGTCCCAGTATGCCGTCAAGGCCGATGGTGTCAGGCTCGTTCTCGCGCTTGGCCTTCTGCAGGTCGCGACGAACCTGCTCCAGCAGCTCCTTCTGGGTCTTCTCGCTTGCAGCTAACGCCGTCATGCCGATGGCAGCTGGAGGCAGGCTGTCATCTTCATCGCTGCTGTAATCGAGATTGTCCCATTTTGAATAATCGATGGGTTTCGACATCGTGTGGCAGCCACCCAGAGCACCCAACGACAACAAAATGTCACAGACGACGACGCCGGTCAGAAGACGAAGCGAGAGGTTGTTCGCACGATCTACTGCGACAGGATTCTCTCCCTGGCCATCAGGCTGGCCGAGCCGACTGACCAAGCTACTTCGCAGCGAATATCTTGAGTGCGTGGGCGACGGTCGAAGAGGATGAAGGAGGTGAATCTTCTCTCGTGCAACTGAGCACCGAGTGAGTCCACCTGGCCGCGCAGCCCTCCTCACTATGCTTTAATTCACTGCGATCTTCCATCTCATGATGCAAACAAACATGGATGCGTTGAGGCCTTTCGAACTCTCTAAAAAACAAAGCCACGAGTGCCGACGGTGGTGCTGGAGATCCATGAGACATCAAATATAAAATGCAGATAGCAATCATGCTTCGTTGACACACACTTGTCGCCACTGCAGTAATCCAACAACGACGTGTGACGGTCCAGTTGGCCATGCCGCCCACCATCGCAGCGACGCCGCCCACCAGTGGACCAGCGCAGCTGTGTGTGGCTGCCGATGGCCTTGCGAGTGCCGCTGGGGCGAGGAGAGGTGGGGCGACTGCCGTTGTGGCCGGGGCGGGGGCGGCACACAGCTGCTGGCCTCCTCTGCTGGCGTCGGGTGGTCGTGTCGGCCTCCG